TCTGAGCCTGTGCTCTCCTTCAGCCAGCCCAGGCAAGCTGTGGTATCAGCCAGGGCTCTCTGGAGTCAGGAGAAAGCACTAAGCTTTGGAGAAGCTCCACCCCACAGAAGGGATGTGTGGTACCTCTCCTAGAGCTGCCTGGGGAGAGTAACCACTGGCATACACTGCCATTATGATGGGGGTACCTTATTCCCAGTAATTAAACTGGCCTTTCCTGTGATGTGTGATCTTGTCATTGGTCTGTTGGCCAGAAAGTGACATTCTGTGCTTCTGTGGAGCCCTTCATGTACCACATTCAAAATGTAGACAGCACAGTAAGCAGAAAAGGAGATAAATTAAAGCTGACTAAAATAAAACGTATTGTAGAGAACTTCAGCCACAACAGGATTTGAACAGGAAATTACTTCCCATGGTGACTACTAACATAGTACATAACATAACTAAATAATGGACAGGAAAGACATAGTTGTCTGTCACCAGAATTTAAATCTTCTACCTATGCCCAGTGCCCACTACTCCACTTTGTTTTTTGCCAAAACCAGGATCTTAAAAATGAACAAGTGTACATATACTCAGTGAAATGAGGCTCGTTTTTACCACTTTCTTTTCTGCCTTAACACAGAAGCCACAAGCAGCAAAATTCACACCACAGCCACTGTGCATAGAGTGAGACACAAATTTCTAGTCCAATAGGAAGACAAGAATTCCCAACCAGGTTGCACCAGCAGTCTGGTAAGTTTAGAATTCATTCTCACACAGAGCTGAATCCTCTGATCAAAACAGCAAGAAATTCTGTTGAAGGCAGCTACACCATAACTTACCTAACAAAATATTCATCTTAGTGGTGGACTTCCAACTTAATGCAAGTAGAGTTCCTGCACCTCAGAAATTTCTTATTTTCTCTCCTGTAACTGTGACATCTGGAGGCCATATATATAATGTCTTTTAATGTCATTGATGCTTTATGGCAATGAGCTGCATGCGTTAATGGAATTTTATGAAGATTCCCAAGCCATTTTAAGGTGCAGTCTTTCCCTTTTTGCCTTGCATACTTGTCTTTCACCTCTTATTTACCATTTTCTTGCCTATATAGGCCTAATCTTCCAGTAACCTCATTCATCAGTCTGTCAGCTTTCTGACAATGTATCTTACACCTTTTTGTTGGAATCTTATCTTACTGCCACATGTGTCATAGATGTGAGGATACACAAAATTTGTTGGTTTAGGAAACAAAAACAGCATTCAAGACAAATGGGTACAAGTGATTTATATAACAAAGTCTTACTCCTGACTTTGTACAGTTAATAACTTTAGGCCACTATTGCCTACTATTTACAGTGTTGATACAGCCTCACATTCAGAGACCACACCTGCTGCTGAAGCTCTCATGTGATGTGCAGATTAACAAACAGGAAAAAAACCTTTAGTGTAGGCTTAGATTAAAGCACAAAAAACCACAGTCACATAATATGGGAAAGCCAAACCAAAGGACACCTCTAACTTTTCATGAAGTGACCCTTGTACTCCGAGGTTACTGAATAACTGAGGTTACTGCCACTGTTTTTGCTGCTGCTTATTCATAGTGTTTTCCTGAAGAGGAAAATAGCTGATCTGCCTTGTTTGCAGCATTGTTAGTAGTTTTTCAGAGCCAAATAATTCTGGTTTTGGGGAGGGATAATCCACTATTAACATTGTCATGTGGGGAGAGAGATGCAGGAGAAAGTCTGTAGAAAAATACCCTGAGGTTTTTTTGTTGCTAAGTACCAGGGCTATGCAGAGGTGACAAGGCTTAGAAGTGTAACCAAGGTAGCTAATAGTTCTATTGACTAACACACTAAAGAAGAGAGATGTTGCCAAAAACTAAGTGATAAAGACAAAAAAAACATGCCTAGAAGACTATGTTGTTAGGATATTTTTCAAGGAATCTGCTGTTGGAGGCAAGTTTGTTTTTTTCTAAAAAGCCAGTGTTAAAGGCACAGCAGGCAGCAATAGCTTTTAAGGAGATGGATTGGTCCTGTCATGAAAAGAAGAAATGGAAAGGGAACAACAGGGAAGAACAGTAGTGCCAAAGGAGTGTGGGAGGCAGATAGAGGGTGAAAAGACAAGAAATCAGAAAAGTGAATGACAGGAGGAAAAAGGAGAAAAGAAATTATAGATGTGGACCTTGGTGCTCATGTCATTTTCCAGTTTCTCTTAGAAGGTTGATTCCTGCAGCATAAGCTGAGAACACGCTCACAGATACTTGGGGTTTCTTGGTAAGAGCTGCCCAGACTCTCTTCTCTGCCATAGTGTGTTCCCTTTGCAGAACACACCTGTCTGGGGAAGAGAGGAATAATGATTGGGATCACCATGACTTCCCTAGGACTCAGAACAAAGCTGCTGGTCTTCTGACAGTTACACTTCATTCCTTTCAAAATTGCACCCCAGGAAGAGGAGGGGATGGCTTCTATTTTTGGATACCCAAAGACAAACCAACCTTTCTTTTTGGAGCTGAGCTGCTGTGCTTACACAAGTTATGGGTGCTGCAGAACACTGGAAGTTGGCACAAAAATAAAACCACTGCTTGGAGGAAAAGGAGCATGGATTTCATTCTATGTAAACATTGGTCTGTCCTTGGGAGAACATTTTGAGATGTTCCTACCAGCAATACTTAGTACTGCTCCACAAACATACTTGTTTCCTAAGTACAAATAATGCTTTTGGACAGGTACTTTTATCCTTTAGCTTAGTTACCCTTTCACCAACACTTCTCCAGCTATTTTCTGTATGTGAGATCTCCCAGAGTTGTACACAGTTGCATGCAGAAACACCAACTGTTCAGATACTGCACATGACCATAATTATATATATAATAATATATCTATATTATAAATATATCTCATAATATAGATAATTAGAGTTATGCTCAGTGTATGAACAGTTAATGTTGCTGTCTGATTTTTACAGAATGTGTGATGACAAACATATTTAAAAGGTCCCATTAAAGCATTTCTAGCAAATCTTGGATTAGGAATCAGAAGTGCAGCAGTGATTAGGATCAGAAGGCATCACTTCTCTTCTGCAGGTTCCTTACCCAGCACATCACAAGAACTATGTGAGGACTGATGGGAGCAAGTTGCCATGGAAATATCAGATGAAAGGTCAAAAAAAACACCTTCCAGCAGAGCAGTATATGTCACTCCCAACATACACAAAGGGCAAATGCATCAAAGACTGCACTCTTTCCAGAGACCATGCCCACTCCTCACACTTATCCCAAGACCATATTATCTTCCAGATGGATTCATAAGGCTCCATTAGCACACTCCCACTCTGGCTGAGCTACAAAGGCTTCCTCAATTGTACCCTCAGGGCCATGATCCCTCCTAAACCAACTCCCAAGGCTATGCATATTCCTGTAGATATACCCAACCCAAAAAGCACTCTGAGTGCCAAGGTCACTCTTCAACCCATTCATAAGTGACAGAACAAACCTCCAGCAAGTGACTAAACAGGGCACAAATTCAACAAATTCACCATGTGCACACTAAACTACTTGCAACTGGAAATCACTAGGCAGCAAGGAAGCTTCTGAACAAACATGGGCTGCATTCAAACCTACACATCTGCTTTCTGGGAATTAACAACTACACAAGGTTCAGAGTCATCCGGCTGTAACCACATCGTGTGAGGAGGGGGTGTGTCTATCATACTGGCCACTGCTAATTAGATGAAAAAATTAACTCCTCCAGAGCCCTTTGAGTAAATTCAAGCTCATTGAATAAAACCAAAACAGTTCCTTGAAGCCACAAAATTGTGTTATTTCACTCCAATAAGGAATCCTGCTCACACAACTGAAGATGACATTTTATAGTTGAGATTTCGCTGAAACTAAATAAAAAAGTCTCAGGTAGACCAAAATATTTTATAAATTAATTTTCACCTTGACAATCTATTGGGTTGGCAATATGAATAGTAAATGCCACAAAAATCCTGAAAGATTTAATTGTTTCATCTATCTACATTTGTATTTATAGTTAATATTTAAATTTTAGAATAATATTTACCTTTAAATTTTAATTGTGTATTTATAATTCAACATAACATTTATAGCTAATATAACTTTTAATATAAAATATCCTTAAAGGTTTGGAAATGAACTAAGTTACAAAGATGAATTTCCTGGAAAATGAAGTAAAATTTGTTTTTATAAAGTTTGCATTTTGGTCTAATTTAAGACCAAATGAGAAATGAGTATTCTTGGAAACCCCCAAAAATCCTGGCACTGATGTTAATATGGTGTGGGATGAGGCACTAAACATATTAGCTGTTACAACTAAGGAAAAATATGTGAGAAGTCTGAAATCTGGCTGAGGAACCGAATAAGTTCCAGTAATTCACTTTACGCTTATCCACTAGTAATTAGTCCAACTTAGCCCATACCAAGTAATTACAGAGAGCATTTTAGTGGGCAAATATAGAGGTGGAGAAAATCCGATGTCCCAAGGTTACAGAAATTGTGTTCTGATTCATTTTTAAAGCCACTTGACATTTACACCCATGACAAAGTTGTGGGCTGGCGAAATGGGGCTAATGGAGGGGAAAATACAGAACAGAGAAGCCACAATGAGCAGAAGGTGGTTGGGGGAAGGTCCAACAAAACCTCATTTTTACTCAGATAACAATTGTGGAAATTATCTTGTTTGCTGCAGTGTTCACAATGTCATGATGCCCACCAAGCACTGTCCCCAGAAAAACCCACAGACACCATCTTCACAGAAGAGTGGGGAAAGGAGACAGAGGACAATTTAGCTGCATGTTTGAATCCTAACTTAATACAGTAAAGGATTATTTGTGACCACCTGCTACCCAGCCACCTGTTCTACCTTTCAGCAAATGTTTAAGAGCTGCACAGGGTATATATATGGCTGCTCTGAACTGACTGTAACATAATTAGCTTAGGGAATTCAGTAAGCAAAATAAGAAAAGGACATCCTAAAACCTAGGAAGTTTGCAATTCTAGGAGTCAATTAAAAGCATATATTTTATAAATCAACTAAACTACAACTGTTTCCTTACAACTTCGAAAAAGCTGCTAAATGTACTAAGATCCTTTGGGGAATCTAAACTCTAGACTTTATATATAGAACAGCATCAAAGGAGAGGTGTGCAGTCTGTCCTACTGTAGTCTAAGCCCACCATCAGAAAAAGACACTTGGAGTAGAGCATTAATTCAGTTGACTAAAAGGTTGCAGCCTTATGCTAGAGTTTCTCCCCTCTCTCTTCTATTATTTCAGATTAAATTTGCAATGGACAATACCTACCTACCCTCAATGTTCCAAAATAAACAAAAAGAGCCCTATCCTGTACTTCTGCTGGAATAAGCAAAGCTACTTCTAAGGGCTCAAGAATGGCTCCCTTTCTGCTGGGCCATCCCATCAACCTGCTGCCATCTGGGGCTTGTTCTTACCCAAAGAGCCATCCTCACAGGCAGCACTGAGGGAGGAGAGAGGCTGGTGAGAGCTTTCCAGAGTACAATGAGCACAGACAAAAACTCACATTTTCCAAGTCTCCTAAAAATGCTGCCAGATTGTCTTTTTAAAATGTAGATCATACAGACAAATCATGCAGTCCTGTTTATTTCTCTAATTCTTGTCTGACAGTTCAGCTGTGATATTGGGTCCTTCTGGCTAATCATTTGGTGTGATTTTTTCACTTGGCAAACACAAGTCATGGCTCCTTTCTCACTGATGTGACAGACAAGTGTTGCTGGTCCTCCCGCAGTCAAGTAGTAAACAGATCCAGACACACTCACTCAGTCCAGCAGCACCATGCCATCACTGTCCTTTGACTCAAGCAAAATTATTCCTTTTGATGGCAGCAGTAATTTAACAGAATACAAATGGAGGATATGCAAAATTTGGCCCAGTAATTTTGACTGATAAAAGTCATGGCTGCCTTACCTGTTTATTCCCATAGGAATTATTTCTTTTGCTGATACAGTGGGTTACTAGAAAGCACTTCTAGGCTTCAGAAGAGCTGGTTCAAATCTGGTAGGGGGAGGGGGGAGCAGACAGGTGGTGTGTGTTGAGATTGTTCCGATCAACTAACCTTTAGCTCCTTTTCTCTGCCAGGTTTTCTCACGGATTTATTCAGCACTGTATGAATTAGTGCCTTTCTGCTTCTGCTCCTGGGGGGTCAGGCAACCAGTACCACACAAGATTCATAACATCCTTTTTTCAAGACTCCAAATACAGGGTGGTACAGTCAGAGTGGAGTCAGTGATCCTCCACATTACAGCTAGGTAAGACAAGAAGGAAAAAGAACTGCCAAGAATGAAATAATACTGTGAGATGGCATTTTTATGTGAGCTGCTCCATCTCTCTTTCCTGGCCTCAGATCAAATTAGCTAGAGTTACAGAGCTAACTGTAATCCTGTTATAAACCACTTCCAGACAGGCAAAGGAATGTCCCTCCTTACTGTAGGCCAGATTCATTTGTGTAAGACAAATGCTCTATTAACTTTCAATTTAGCTAATGGACATATTCCTGCAGTTTAAACCCCCAGGTTACAAAATTATCTGTTAAATCACTTTGGTTTTAATTTTGAAAACATCTGTCTGATTTCAAATTATAAGGTTTCAAGAAATCCAAGCACCCAAACAGATTGCTGAAGGCATACTCCACTTGAAATAGTTAGTTAAGCTCAGCCTTGCTAGGGGAGGCACAGTGACTATTTGGGTCTCCTGTGTTTTCCTGGGATGCAGAATTGCACAGTCCTTTCATCAGGGTCTTTACAAAGCCATTATTACACCAGAAAAAATTCTCTGCTAGCTTTACTTGCTAAAATGAGTTTAAGAAAAATTCTCCTTAACCACAAAATGCAAATGGTCCTTGTGTCATCAAAAGCTCAGTTTTGCTTTTTAACTATTCAGCAGGGGAGTTTTCCACTGAAACAGCAGTAGATCCCACATGTGATATGACAAGGTAAACACAGAATGTATCCAAGCATGCTGCACGTTCATCATGAATGATTTATACAGACTTTAAAACATCTTGGACTACTGCTAGTGATGTAATAGAATCCCTCGTAATAATTGACACTACATAAGCTACATCTGAAATCACAAAGAATTCTGCTAATAGCCAAGGAACTGATATATGGCTAAAAAGCAAGAAGCATGTACCACTCCCATATTATCTGTAGAGTAGCAACAGGGAGTTGTGAAAATATCTGTTCAGTATGAAAGGAGTGCTTTAAGCCAGTTCATGGGCACCTATCCAGGCCAAAACTTTTGGACCTCACTGGAAGACCTAGACAAAGCTTAGGGCCCAAAACTGTCCTCCCTACACAATCACTCTCTGGACAAACTGAAATGTCAAACACTCAGCTTCTCCCGTGCTTCATAAACTCCTCTGGGTGCTTTCCTAAGCCATGCTTCAGGTAATAAGGACCTCAATTCAATTCCTTTCTTGCTCTGCTGTTTCCCATTAGAACTAAGGTAAATCCTGAGAAGAAAATCTAGTTTTGAAAGTGTTCAGGATGGAACCATTCTGTAGGGAGAGCTCATCTAGGCCTCTCAGTCCAGATCATCTCAATACCATTATACTTGGTAATAAAACAAAGTTACTTTACACATGGGAATGACCTCTGCGGTCACCAGCCGGTGAAAAAGGAAAAGTAGCCAAAAAGTAGCCAAAGGGCTGGAACAGTAAAGATGTCAGTATTGTTTCTACAGCAATCTTCACAATCCTTGTCCCTTTCACAGTGGAGAAGGTGGGATGCCATATGCAAGGCAGAAATTCAATCTGTGCTCACTTTGTGTCATGCACTTGCCCAGCTCAGATCAGGAAAAAATTTCATCTCCCTCCTGAATCAGAAAATGAGCATCAGTATAAATAAGATGTTTTCTACTGAGCACAAAGACAGGTCTTATTTGAAATACTCATTCCATCTGTTTGCCAGAGTTTACCAATGTTTAAACCTCTCCTCCATGTTCATTTATGTAATCAATGCTAAAATAACTTGTTATTCTCTCATTTTCAATCAAGTCAGACCCCGTTTTTCTTCATTTCCTTCTATTATCAATTGATTAGCAGACTACAGGAAATCAAAGGAGATTGTTAGAAACAAATGGATTTGCTATGAGCTGCTGTGAATTCTGGTACAAGAGACCCCTAGGACTGCTCTTTGTGTCACCTGGGTGTCTTTCACCCAAAGCATTTCCAAGCAAGGGAAGCATTTGTAAAGCTTACCAAGTAAATTGACAGGCCTCCTCCTTCCACACAAATGCACAGAGAATTCAGGGAATTCAGGAGCTCTGAGACTGTTCTCTAGCAACACTCCTCAATAATGCAGCTTGGAGAGACAAATGCTAAGGGCCTGCTGCTGAGCTGGGCACTGCTGGCAGAGCTGGCCTCAAGTTGGTCTAACAGAGATTTGCACAATGACTCAAAGCTGCACCATCCCAAAACTGTAATTACAGCTGGACACATCTCTCCTAACAAAGGCAATTGTGACCCCCTCAGACAAAAATTCCATATAGAAGTGTCACAGTTCCCAAGAGCTTTGCTGGATTCTGGGCCCAGTTCATTCCTCCTGGCCAAACAGACCCTCAGGAGATTCTAATGGGCTCCCACAAAACACCTACAAGCTGAGAATGTCCCAAGGCTTCAACAGGACACCAGACAAACATTAGGATGTCACAGAGGGATATGCTCCGTCAAGGAGAGTTGTAATTTTAATCTGGTTTCTGGGCACTTCTGCTGCTCCTGACACAGGTCCAGCAGGGAAAACCATGACACCCCATCTATCTGGATCTGCAGGCCATGCATGAGATGTGTAGCCTGGCCCCAGGACAGACCATGTGTTCTGTCATTTCACATTAGAAAAGCTCTGGGGTCCCTATCCCAAAGGGAAGAAGACATCATTGCACAGCTCCAAAGCATACGAACACAAGCTTTTTGTAGGAGCCAGAAAGCCCAAAGAACCCTTGCTCAAGGTGGCAGGGTCATGGTTTACCAAATCCACTCTCTGTACCAAGGAGAAACAACTATTCTTAAATTCTTGGATGTAGCCTGGAAAATGTTTAGTAATAAAATTCGCAGAGAAACTGGTATGTGTTTTAAATAAACAAAATATCTGAACATTTTTTTTCCTTCAAAATGGGGGAAAAAAAAAAAATCAATTGTAAAGAAAGTTGTATATTTTTTTCTGTTTCCAAGTGGAGACACCTTCTTTTTACAGAATTTTATGATTTCCAAGGGTCAATAGCCTTGACTTTCACTACCACTAGCTGTCAAAGCCTAACATTTAGATAGGCTTTCCTACCTGAGAGCGTCTGGTTGCATAATGAACATTTTTAATACTTTATGATAACCCCAGAAACTAGGTATTGATAAAACTTACATATCATCACATATTGAGTAAACTGACACAGAAACTGAGTGCTACATCTGTTGTTAAACTACTACTGTTAGACCTAGGAACAGATCAAAAACCTTCATTCCAAGGTATTCCTGAGTCTTGGAAAATGCTGCAATCTTCCATGCCTTTGTCTTTATTATTGCTTTATATAACAATAGAGCTAATTAAAAGTCTCCTAAGTACTACATATGAATTTCAATTAGTGTAAGTTGTCACTTGCTCACCTACTATTTAGTGGATTCTTTAAAGGTACATGAGTCTCAGTCATTTCCAGATAAGATCTGATGAGGAGAGGCCTCTAATCTGTAATGAAAGAACATACTGCAATCCATCCATATACCAGTTTTATGTATTTTTTTCCAACAATTTTGTATGTACATCCACATCACAGCATAGACTTATTTCCTAAATTGAAAAATTACGTGATGAACAAACCTGTGTAACATTAGGAAGAGAGACAAAGTTAGTCTGACTCCATGAGACTGACAGTGGAGTTGATTCTCCATCGTTCTGTTCTGTTCTTGGAGTGTTCATTGCACTCCCAAAAAGACAGTGAATGCTGTATGCAGAATTCGGGTTCCATGTGAATTAGTCATAAAACTGCCCTGATTCAGTGGTGTCTAATGCTCAGTTTGAATTCCAAAACTTGCAGTAAGGGAGGTTTTTTCCAAAGCTGTTCCCTTAGAGTTTTTATCTCTCTGTGTGAATGATTTGTTTTCCTTTTAAATTTTAAAGCTAAAAAAAAGTCACAGATTATGATAAATTGACTTTTTTTTTCATTGGACCATTGTTGCACTGACTAAACATGCAGATTACCTCTGACAAGGGTGGCTAACCACTTTCTGTTTCTAAGGTGGCAAGCCAAATGGAAATCCATGACTTAAAGGAAGCTTTCAGAATCTGTTAAACATTACTTAACAGCAAGTTCTACTATGTTGTTTCTGAAAAAATTAAAAGAAATATTACCATATAGAAAAATTCCTTGCACCACATTTGTCTGCACCACTGAAGTACCTCCTTCTCTATCCTTCCAGTAACTGAAGAGCCTGTCTCAGATGACATAACCAAATTACAACCAAAACATTGATAAATAGTGGCTCCAAAAAAAGACATCAGCTCCATCCTCAGGGAGGGCAGTGTTTTTAGATTGACAGCTATTTCTGAAGAAATAAATTTATTTTTGAAATAAATTGTGCATTAGACAGCCATGCACACTATATCTAGACAAACACGGATGATTTGTTTTAGAGGCGTTTTCAGAAATAACCAGCACTGTTCCATCCTCCCCCTCATTTTATATAAATAGCCACAGACACGTTTTACATGCATTCACATATAGAGAGTGAGATTCTTACCACTGTACAATGCCAGAAAGAACAGCAGCCTCCTGGTAACTCTAAACCAGCCCACAGCATATACCTATATAATAGGTCTATCATTAAATACAGATTTAGCTAGAGAAGACCTCCACACTTCTGACATTTCAGCATAGCTTTCCACAAAGGAGTTGAATGGGGTCCTCAACTGCACAGCGATTTTTCAGTCTTTTTATTCTGAACTTTTACAGTGAGTTTTCCCTTGGCAGTCTATCTCAGGTTCACAGGACAGCCTGCTCTTCTGTGACTTACTTGAAAGGCCTGCCAGCAGATTCCTCATTCCAGGCTCTTGAAACCTGAAGGTTAGTCCCTCCTACTCTCCCAGATGCACCAGATATTCATTGAAACATTTTATAATCTTATTTTAAAAGTCAGATATTTTTCCACTATTAAAATGTTGGAGTCAGAGGCACAGAGAATATTCCCTTATCTGTGCTGACAAGCTCTGACTCTCAAGAGAACACTGAGTTTAGCCTTAAGCCATGGAGAAAGCTTCTAGAACTAAGTAGAGAAACTGAGAATGTGAATGTGTAGGGTAGATAGAGTTGCATTAAATCACTAAGTGGAAAAGTTAGGTTGAAGTTTAAGTTATATTAATATGTGAGATACAAGATGGAGGATTTGGGGCCTTGCCCTTTTCTCCTTCATCCTCTAGGGTTTTTGGGTAATAATGAGTGATTGGATAGAAGAATCCACACTGCAGCACACAGGTGTCGGGTCATTGGGTCACTAAGGAAAATAAGTTACTTGGCATTTGATTATTGGGTAAATGGACACATGGACATGGTAAATGGACGATCTCCCCAAGGCCTTGGAGAGATTCTTCATCACTCATATTTTGCACCTCATTAGCCTAGTGTATACAACTCCTTGTACTCTCTAAAATATGTAATATAGATAAGAAAGAATAAACAACTGAGCCCAAACAGAAGAAAACAAGTCTCTCTCTCTCTTGTCAATCTCGGTCCTGGGGAAATGAACTGAACCACAAATGTCACACTCCAACATTAAAACGGGCTTTCGATATTTTAATGGTGTTAAAGAAACCCAGCACAAGGTCACAGTGCTGAATTGGTACTTTTCCTTTGCCAAACCTCTGGCTTATACCAGAGACCAACATCTCTTCAATTGCCTGAGGAGCAATCTCATTTTCTCTTACAGGAGATGAGTTTGTCTTCTGCTGGTGCTGGGATGATGCAAGTATGTCTGCAACCCAGTATTAGTTTTTATCTGTCCCTAGTTCTCTCCTGGCAGCTCTCTCTTTCCTTAAGCAGAGCTAGCTAAGTGGCAAGCAGCTCTGAGGGTGGATCTTCACACCTACACAAAACCCCACAGGAGCAGGCTGTGTTTTGTGTGAACACAAGGTGAGCCTCGTGTAGAACTGTGTGTAAGAGGATGTAGGAAGAGGGGACTTGATTGATTTCACCTTAGTTTTCTTACCCCACCTTCTGTTTCTAGTTAGTGCTGCTGTCCTATATATTTCTGCTGCTTTTCCTGACACCCCCTTTTTAGTTATTCCCATTTCATATAAACTCCCATCTTATTTTTAGATCCATTTCTTTTCACAATGTGCTTTGCCCAAGGCAAAAGCAAACATACAAACAAATCTTCCAGCCAAACCCTGAGATCTTTTCTTAGTGTTTGCTGCTCAGCCCTCACCAGAGTCCCTATGCTTCCCAGGTCACTCTGGCTTTCTCTGTGAGGCAGTGTGGTGTTAGAGAACAGATAAACCAGAAGGAAGGAGGAGGAGAAATAAATACAGTGTGAGCTCAAGCCTTCTCACAAGCTGTGCTCAAAGCAGAGGGAAGAAAGGGGTGCTTAGCTCCCCAAACCACCTCGTAGCTGGATTGAGCCCCAATGACCTGCTTGCATCCAGCCCCCAACGTGCCTTCCCCCTTGCCTCTTAAGAGATCAGGTTGTGCCTGTGAAAACTCTCTAAGTTTCTAGTTTCTCTAAGTTTCTTCTTCTAAGGAAGAGGCAGAGACACTTCTGTTCTGCAGGAATATTTGTCCCAAAAGGCAAGGGTCCCTCAGATAATGTAACTCCCTGCAAGAGAGTATGGCCATAGGAGAGCTGGGAAAGGCACAGACAGCCACACTGCCAGGACTGTAGGTGTGAGCCAATGGCAAACCCAGCTCTCTAAAGAGAATGGTTAAAAGCTGGTCACTGCTGATGTTGGGCACCTATCTCAGACTTCAGCCAAGTGTAAACTGCTTTGTCTGTATGAAAGCAGTGAACCCTGCAACAGCCCATGTGCAATACAAAGGTTATTTGTTAATGAAGCTACATGCACAAACACAATACCCAGAGGAAGGATGGTTTGGAAGGGTTTTTGGAAGAGCAGTCATAATGTGTGCCAGCTACATGAAATGTGAACCCATCTATCTCAGTAGAGCCAGATACAAGACTGAGCAGGTGAGCACATCCCTGAAACAGACATTGGATTCAGTTTCACCAGATAAGTGTTATGCTTGCTACTTGCTTTGAGAAATCCTACAAAGAGAAGGAAGAACAGATAAAATCAGCAAAATAGTTAATATATTAAAGTAAATATTAAACCCAGTAAAACATTTTCTGTATGTAAAATGCAGTCATTGCATTAATGAAACATCTTTAAGGAAACCATTTTGAGGTGGCCCACTCTGAGGTGGTCAGAGAAGCTGAAAGGATCTCCTCTATAACTGTTAATGGAGAAAAAAAAAAAGAAAAAGAAAAAAAAACAAAAAGCAAAACCTGCAGCATGAGAAACCAGCAGAGCATTGACTATCAGTAGCTCTTCGTTCTGTTCTTCATGTTTGACTTGGTGAAGAACAAGCCTAGTGCTGAGGATACAACCAGCCAATTGTAAATTTAAATATGTTTGCTCTCCTTCATGCTTGCCAAAACCACTCAGTGGTTCCTGGTAGCTTTAGGTTCATGCAAGCTGAGACCACAAAAAGCAGTGCTACCTCAGGACTCCCAGAACAAACCTACTTCAGCAGCTACATTCTCCAGCTCTACATCTTTTTTGAGGCTGATGAAAGTTTGGCATGTACTTGAAGGATATCTAGCCGTGTTTGAGCCTCCAGAGATACAGTTATTGAACAGAGATCCCAGAAACTACTTTAAGGGCTCTGGGCCTCAATCACCTGAGATGCTCCTCTCATTTCCAGAGAAATATGAACATTGAAGACTACGAAACTGCAACCTTATTTAAAAAAAAAAAAAAAAAAGTTTATCTTTATTTGGTGGGGATGGACAGAATACTTTAATACTGCAGTATTAAAGTAACAAATCAAGCCTTGGTTCCCCAAAGTCAGAAAGAATTTGGACCTAGGCAAGAGTACAGAATGAACTAGTCTTGATCTTTTGTCTTAAGCAGTATTAGTGGAAGTGTCATAGAAAAATGGGATATATGGACAGTGATACAACTTAAAGCTGACATTTTTCAAACTCTCCTCTGCTTTATAACAGGACTAGCAAAATGCATGAGTAAAACTTGAGGGGCAGGGAATATTTGTGTTTATTTGCTTTTAAAGTAGTTTTTTTCATTTTCAAATGAAAATTTTCTAAGATTCTGTCTTAAGTCTCTAGCCCCTACTCAGATTAAAAGTGAAGGCTTTGAAATACAAACACTTGAGCAGAAATTTTTCTGCTTTGACATGAAACTGCACAAATACTCAATCCAACTCTGCTCAGCACCTGACAATTATTGCACCTTCAGCCTGCTCAAGCCTTCCAAGCCCAAGATGGGTGCAACAGAGTTGGCCTGTTCCATTTTTGATGTAATCCCACCAATTTTACACCAGTTAAGAATGGCGTCCCTGTCTGGTCAACACTCCAGTTCTCAGCCCAGCAAGGCAGTGCAGGCCTGTTTTCATTACAGTACAAATTAATAGGCCAGACTCATACTCCAAGCTCGGGTAGCCGAGGCAAAAAGATCAGCCAGTGCTGTTACACATCCATGAAATGCAGCGTTCTGACAGCACAGTGAATGGCAAGGGAAAGGTAACATTTCAAATTGCTGCAGTATGATTTCTCAGAGGTTTTCTGCTAGAGCACAGAGAGACAGGAACAAATCAGCAAGGTTAGGAATCTACCGCTCCAAATACCTTTGTTACTGCCATGAGGATGGGGGCGGGGGGGGGAGGGGAATTTTAAACAACAACAGCAACCACCAAAAAAAACAAAACCCACCACCCTAAAAACAACTGCAAATTGAATTTCTGAGCACACTTCTAAGACTTGACTTTTGGCTCAATATTCAGTGTTTTTTAGAGGCTATTCTTATGAACTCAACCAGAGATAGAAGCAGTACCATGTATATAGTTTCTATGAAAAGCAACAAGTGTGAGAAAAGCAGCCATTCCATAAGAATTGTCACAAATACATTGAAAAAAAATTCCACTGAAAAAAAAATTCCACTGAAAAAAAAATTTTGAGTCAGAAATTTGCCTGCTAGATTTCAGTGGAATGTCATTAAAAGTCCATTCCTTCCTAGTGCTTTTGATCAGAAAGTATGACATATTACAAAAATACCCCCTCAAGAAAGCCTCTAAATTCATAGATCAGACTGAGGACTCTCTCACAATCACTTCTGAATATAGAGGAGGTGCAATAAGGCTCAGATCCCCACATGGCAATTTTACGCAACCAAGAACAATGACAAATATTTGGAATTAACTAGTACC